ACATTCCCCCCCCCCCCCCCTCCCCCCCCCCCAACCCTTTAATCTGAAAACGTGTGTAAGAGATTAAAAAAAACAAGCTATGTACAATTTACACACATACTTTGTTGAAAATTTGTTCAAAATCAATATAATGATAGTGGATTTATCGTTGGGCTCAATTGTGGAATTGGTTGAATTAAAAGAAATTAAAAAATGCAAAATTTGATTTTTTGCTTATGCGTACGCACATACTTAATTTTGTACGTACGCGAGATGTGTTTTGACAAAATCAGAATTAAATTTTGCTTCTACTATGCGTACGCACGGTTTATACTATGCGTACGCAGGGTGTTAAAAAATAGCTGTTGGCTGATTTTTCAATTTGAAACTTAGGAACCATTTTGGACTAAAAGTTGCCACTTTTTATCTTGTTTTGACACCATTTCGTGATGCATTGATTGAGACCTATAAATAGGTGATGAATGATCAATACAAACATTATTAGAATCATTGAAAACATCTTGAGATCCATGTATCATTCCATATTGAATCAAATTATTGATTTACATTCATATTCAAGATCTTCCTCTGTGTTCTTAAAGTTTTGGAGGATTGTACTTGTGCTTTGATATTAAATCCTTTACAAGGCTTGATATAATCCCACAAACCGTTTGCCAAAATCCTTAAGCATCTCATTCAATCCCGAGAGGGGGCAAATATAGTTTAAGAACAACGATCCCGTGTTCAAACCTCAAATTCGTTCTTGACGTATTTCGTGATTTCTATTCATTTCGTTTCTATAATTTTGTTGTTATTTCTTCTCCAACCCCTTATTTTCCAACAATCTCAAACTATATTTTGCGATAGAGAATGATACAACTACGACAACTATCAAACTCATGAATAAGATCTAGATAGATTGGATCGTTTTGACGGGACTAACTTCACGCGATGGCGAGACAAGTTGAAATTTCTCCTAACGGCGTTGAAGATTTTTTATATTCTTGATTCAGATTTGGCGCCTTGTCGGAACCAATGAATGGAGAATCCGAAACAATCAAGACTGAGAGACAAAAATGCCAAGAAGATGAATTGATTTGCAGTGGCCACATCTTGAATACATTGTCGGATCGTTTGTATGATCTATACACCAATACAACTTCGGCGAAAGAAATCTGGGAAGCATTGGAAAGTAAGTACAAGGCGGAAAAAGAAGGTACAAAGAAATTTTTGATTTCTAAGTATTTTGATTTTAAAATCTTAGAAAATATCTCTCTTCTTCCCCAAGTGCATGAGTTGCAAGTGATTGTCAACAAATTAAAGGCGGTAAAAATTGATGTACCAGAGACCTTTCAAGTGGGGGCTATAATTGCCAAATTTCCCGGAACTTGGAAAGGATACTAGAAAAAAAATCATGCATAGTTCCAAAGATTATTCTTTGGAACAATTGTAAAAGCATCTTCGAATCGAAGAGGAGTCGATAATACGTGATAAAACTGAAAATTCTCATGAGGGCCCTTCTAAAGCAAATGCTGTGGAAAAAATAGAATCGTCGGCAAAATTCAACAAAAGGAAGCCTTCTAAGAACTTTAACAAGTCCAAGAAGAAGACAAAAAGAGGTTTTTTTGTGTGTAGAAAATCTGGTCACTATGCCAAGAATTGTAGGCACCGAAAACAAAATAATTTCGAGGCCAAATTGAATTCCATCCAAGATGACAAAATTGTGGCCGCCATAAGTGAACTAAACGAAATCAAAGAAAATGTTCCCGAGTGGTGGTATGATACTTGTACTATGGTACATGTATCATATGATAAATCTTTGTTCAAAACTTATCAAGAAGTGGATGGAGAATAAGAGATTCAAATGTGTAACGAGATGCGGTCTAAGGTGTTTGGAAAAGGAAGTGTAGACATTATCTTCACTTCTGGGAAAATCGTTACTCTAACTAATGTACTACATGTTCCGGATATGAATAGAAACCTAGTTAGTGGCAATCTCTTGGGAAAATCGGGCATTAAATGTGTTTTTGAGTCCGACAAACTTGTACTATCTCTTAATGGAAAATTTGTTGGAAAAGGTTATTCGTGTGAAGGAATGGTCAAATTATGTACCGTTGACAATGAAATGAATAAAAATAATTTTACTTATGTTGTGAATTTATTTTCATTATGGCATGCTAGATTAGGTCATGTTGGTAGAAATACAATAAAACGCATGAAAAATTATAACTTGATTTCATATGATGAAAATGATGAACATAAATGCAAACAATAGCAAATCTTATAGATTACTAAATTTGGAGTCCAATGTGATTATCGAATCCAACAATGTGGAGTTCTTTGAGGATTCGTTATTTTCGGATAATGAATTGAGGGAAAATCTTGAAAATATCTCTTGCTCAAGTGGAACACATGATGAAATATCTTCTAATGATGTTGATAAATCTAGTGAACCACGAAAAGCAAGAGAACTCGAGTTGAGAAGTCTTTGGGATCGGATGAAATCGATTATCAACGTATCTCCTTTTACTTAGTAGAGTGAAATGAGTTGAATATTGTGAGAACAATTCCTTTTGTTCTACAAGTAGAAACCGACCCTAAGACTTATAAAGAAGCTATAGCTTCTCGTGATAGCACCTTTTGGAAAGATGCAATTAAGGAAGAAATGGATTTGATAATGTCAAATAATACTTGGGAACTTGTTGATTTACCACCGGGATCCAAGCCTATTGGATGCAAATGGGTATTTAGGAGAAAATACAATGTTGATGGATCCTTAAATACCTTCAAGGCTGGATTAGTAGCCAAAGAATATCGACAAAAGGAAGGAATCGACTATTTTGATACTCATGCACCGGTAGTTAGAATAACATCGATTAGGATATTGTTCGCTTTGACTTCAATATATAACTTGCATGTTCATCAAATGGACGTTAAGACGGCATTCCTAAAAGGAGATCTCGATGAGGAGATCTATATGGAACAACCCAAAGGGTTTGCTCTACCTGGAAATGAACATAAAGTGTGCAAGTTTGTGAAATCTTTATATGGTCTGAAGCAAGCACCAAAAAAATGGTATGAGAAGTTTGACTTAGCAATAATAGCATTCGGGTTTAAACATAATAGCATTGATAAATATTTATATTTTAAAGTTTGTGATGATTATGTGATATTTATATGCTTGTATGTTGACGACATGCTGATTATGAGTAATAACATGGACGGAATAGAAGAAACAAAAATGTTTCTTTCTTCCACATTCAAGATGAAGGATCTTGTACAAGTGAATACCATTTTAGGTATCAAAGTTACAAAGACTAGTGGGGGTTACTATCTAAGTCAATCACATTAAATTGAGAATGTCATAAATAAGTTCAAACATTTGAACATAAAGGAATGTAGTACCCCGATTGATCCATGTTCAAAACTAATAAAGAATGATGGAAGGGCAATTGCTCAATTGGAATATACAAGTGCTATAGGGAGTCTTATGTATACTGTTCAATGCACAAGACCGGATATAGCTTAAGCAATAAGTAAACTTAGTAGGTTTACTAGCAATCCGAATAATGATCATTGGAAAGCTATTGTGAGAGTTTTTGGATACTTAAAGAAAACCAAGAACTTGGGCCTACAATATACTAAATTCCCGGCAATATTGGAAGGATTTACCGATGCTAGTTTGATATCTAGCACGGGTGAAAGTAAATCCACTTCGGGTTGGGTATTCACTCTTGGAGAAGGTGTTGTTACTTGGAAATCAAAGAAACAAACATGTATAACACACTCAACCATGGAATCTGAATTTGTAGCTTTATCGAATACCGGGAAAGAGGCTGAGTGGCTTAAGGATCTCTTATATGAGTTACCTTTGGGATCGAAAAATATCTCTTCAATACCTATCATGTGTGATAGTCAAGCTACGTTAGCGAATGCATATAACGAGGTATACAATGGAAAGTCTAGACATATGAGTCTGAGATATGACTACATAAGGAAATTAATCAAAGATGAAATAATTTTCCTAAATTATGTAGGTCAATTGAGAATTTAGCGGATCCTTTAACTAAAACACTAAATAGAGATTTAGTGGCGTCTACTTCAAGTAGGATGAGATTGAAACTCCTTAATTAAAAAGGTTTACCAATAACGGCAACCCTAAATGTCATTACTCAAAAGGTAATCCACGGGGTCAAATGGTAATAACAAGTCATTCGATATGTGGATAGTTGCAGCATTATTTAAATCCGCAATGACCATATCCTAATTAAATAATGCCAATTGTTACTGAAGTGAGGGTTGAGCATTAAAACTCTTAATGAAGTTCAGTGCTAAAATACAAGTATCTTTAAAAGTAACAAAGATATTGGAAGAACTTCACCTAAATGAACTTCAAGGTAATGCCGCCTCAATAGAGAGTTGGAGTTTTTCTCTTAAAAGTTCATTGAATAGGATGAGCGCAAGGCAATAAAAGCGCTAAGCGAGTTGAGGAACTTGAGAACACGTGATACTTATGTGTGTGTTCTTATCGGTATTGTCACAAGGAATAATTGGTTCAAAGCTTCCATGCTACCTCTAATTCCAACTTTACTTTGTTTGAATTGCACTTTGGTTAGATTCAAATCGAAAGATATCTAATCCTTATGCATAAGTGTCGTCTTTTTGAATATGTGATCGTATTGATTTTGAATAAGTAGGGATTGTTGAAAATTTGTTCAAAATCAATGGAATGATAATGAACTTATTGTTGGGCTCAATTGTGGAATTGGTAGAATCAAAAGAAATTAAAAAATGCAAAATTTGATTTTTTGCCTATGCGTACGCACATGCTTAATTTTGTGCGTACGCGAGATGTGTTTTGGCAAAATCAGAATTAAATTTTGCTTCTACTGTACGTACTCACGGTTTATACTATGCGTACACATAGTGTTAAAAAATAGCCGCTGGCTGATTTTTCAATTTGAAACTTGGGAGCCGTTTTGGATTAAAAGTTACTATTTTTCATCTTGTTTTGGTACCATTTCGTGATGCATTGATTGAGACTTATAAATAGGTGATGAACGATCAATACAAACATTATTAGAATCATTGAAAACATCTTGAGATCCATATGTCATTCTATATTGAATCAAACTATTGATTTACATTCATATTCAAGATCTTCCTTTGTGTTTTTGAAGTTTTGGAGGATTGCACTTGTACTTTGGTGTTAAATCCTTTACAATACTTGATATAATCCTACAAATCATTTGTCAAAACCCTTAAGCATCTCATTCAATCCTGAGAGGGGGCAAATATAGTTTGAGGACAACGATCCCGTGTTCAAGTCTCAAATTCGTTATTGACGTATTTCGTGATTTCTATTCATTTTGTTTCTATAATTTTGTTGTTGTTTCTTCTTCAACCTCTTATTTTTCAACATACTTTTAAAGCAGTCATGCGATAGGTTTTGTTGTCCGGACTCCCTCTCAAGTGGAAAAATTAGGAAATCAGAGTCAATTTAAGCAAGATTTTACACAATATTGGGTACTAGACCTATATAAAACTGGTCACAGCACTCCTCAGTATACAACCAAACTCCAAAACGAATTATATGGAACGTTTCATTCAAATCAAAGGAAAAACAATCTACCTAACATTTAATTTACATTTATTAAAGGGGGTTATCACCTCCGCCCAACCCATGCCATCTTCTGTCAACTCCCTAAGTTTCCCTAACTTAGGAGACTCCTCAGTATGGCGAGGGGGGGAGGGGTCCGCACATCCTAAAAACGGGGGCGGAAGACACGGGTACTAGGACAAGGTATAGGGGAAAACGCAGCTGAGTGGGCGGAAGACATAGGTCCGCACATCTAAAATTATAAAATGACAAATATACCATCCTATTTAAATAATACTAAAATAAAAAAAATAAAAAATTAAAGAACTAATTATACTCCCAAACTTTTTTAAAAACTGCAAATGAATCCAAATAAATTATTAAAAGAGTAATTAACACAAAAGTCTCTACCTTTTAATATTATTATGCAAAATGTCCCCACCTTTTATTTTTGGGCATTTTTCATCTATATTTTCACGTTTCATTGCGAAAATCATTATTTTCATCAATTTTTTTCAATTAAAAGTTGTAAAATGACAAATATATCCTCATATTCAAATAAAACAAAAAAGAACAAATTGCAAATATACTCCCAAAATTTTAAAAAAAGTATAAATAAAGAAAGTGATTTTTAAAATTGTTGTTTTTAATTATTAATTTGAAATATATTTGTAATTTTTTAAAAATAAGAGGGTAAAAAAGATGCAGTTTTTTGAAAAATTTTGGAACTGTAGTTGCAAATTGTTCTTTACTTTTGTTTTATTTAAGTAGTAGGGTATATTTGTCATTTTACAATTTTTAATTGAGAAAATGGATGCAAATGATGATTTTCACAATGAAATGTGAAAATAAGAGAGAAAATATCAAAAAATAAAAGGTAATGACATTTTCTATTAATTACAATTTAATAATTTAATCGGACTCATTTTTGTTTTTTAAAAAATTTGGGAGTATAATTGTAATTTATTTTTTTATTTTTATTTTTTTTAAATATGAGGGCATATTTGTCATTTTACACTTTTCTATTAAGAATTGGATGAAAACGACATTTTTCTCAATGAAAGATGAAAATAGGTGGTGAAAATGAAATGTAAAAATGTTTTGCACAATAAAATTGAAAGGTAAGAAATTTTTGTGTTAATGACCCCTTTTCAAAAGTGACCATATCACATTTCCACCCCTAATATTTAGCCTCTATTTCATTTAGATAAAAGGCTTTCTAACTAAACTACTTTTTCTGGTCGTTTCGCTTTGTCAATCGCCTGGTAGCACCGTGAACATGTTCTCGAGATGGACAGAATTTTTTCACAAGCACCTTCGTCGCTGACTACAGATTCAAGCCATTCAATGATCTTGAATAATAATCCTACCGCGTTAAATAGAATCCTTATAAAAATACTACCCATATTCATCAATTTGATAACAACTCACTAGAAAAACCTTTTAGAAAGCCTAACTAGACGAATAAATTTAGATAAAAATCAATGGAATATCAGACTAAAAAGTTATGAATCCTATGCAAGTAAAATTATTTATTAATTTTGACTTAAAGTTTAATTAATTTTTCAACCTAAACGAAACGGGTGCTTAACTACATTTCCAAATCCACTTAATATTATTTAACTAAACAAATAAATATCATTAAAAAATTTCAATTTTTACATTCTTTGGCTTTGGCTTTGGCTTTGGCTTTTCTTGGGTTATATTTCTTGCAGAGGAGCCTCACAATTGTTTGTACTTTATTCCTCTTTGCCTTTGCACTCATCAAACATTTTTCTGCTTGATATCCAATTTGCATTTCTACACCATGACCCTTGGTTCAGGAGGATCCAGTGTCGTGGGTCTGTATACCTCACTCTCGCTTTAAAAAATTGTATTTTTACTGTTAAATCTGCCTGTTGGTCGTAAACTTTGTGGGTTTTAGTGCTTGTTTTGTTTGAGGGAATGATGGTTATTATGCGTTAAGTGTGGATCTTTGTTGAGAAGAAATTTTATATAATTTAATTGTCGTAATCATGTCGGATTTTAATTTGGATTCCTACTGAAGAATCTATACCTAATTTGTGTGGGATTTTTGGGGATCTCGATTGAAAGAAAATTTCCTTGTTAACTGAGGCTCTTTAAATTTTGGATGTGTTTATGTAGTGTTACTATCAATTACTCTATGTTTGAACCTTTAGTAATCATCAAGTTTTGATTTAAGCTAAATAATTTCATAATTGACTTGTTTAGAAAATAGTGGAGAGATTTTGTGTGCTGCTTTAACTTCAATATTCCTTTTGATTACATTTCTGGGTGTATAATTTTTTATTCATTTTCAAAACGGTCAAGGAGATTTAGTTTGATGAGTTTTGTTTTAAGGAGGTGGTCTTGTCGGTCTATTACTACTAGACAAAAACAACATATTTTGTAATAAGCAAGTAGTTGCTGAATATTTTTTGATAATCAGCCTTGCATTTGCTTCATGGTTGTCCTAATACTTGGCATATGGAGAGTAGCTAAAAATTTAGTTTGACGGAGTGTTGTTTGATATCCATAAGCTCATTTCTCAGTTATGTAAATTTTTCCACAATTTTTTTTCGCCAAGGTATTTTGATGCATTAATTGTTTGCAGTTAATATTGACACACCAGAGACTTTTTTATACTTTTCTCTTCTTGTTGGGGTGAATGCATGTTTGATATATTCTTTATACATAAATTTGGTTTGGGATCTTAATGCATAATCGAATGTGTTTGAGAAATAATATTTGATGTTGATTATACTGCCATCATTAACAAACCAAGCCTTGTTTAAATGCTTATACCTAATCTTAACCAAGGATCTGCCTTTATTTATTGATCTTCTAAATGATGAATCATATGTGAGTGTAGTGTATAGAAGAGATTTTTCATCTTCGAAGATGACATCACTTGGAAAATTAACTATTTTAGTTTCCATATAAAACAAGTTTCCTCCCTTCCTCTTGTGAGATATCTCAATTTTCTCCTCATGTCGTGCAGCAAGAGGGAGGGGGGAGATGGTGAGGTGAGAAAAATAAATGTAATTGCAACTCTTTTCTTAAACCTTATGCCAATTAAAACTATACTTGGAAAATTAACTATTTTAGTTTCCATATAAAACAAGTTTCCTCCCTTCCTCTTGTGAGATATCTCAATTTTCTCCTCATGTCGTGCAGCAAGAGGGAGGGGGGAGATGGTGAGGTGAGAAAAGTAAATGTAATTGCAACTCTTTTATTAAACCTTATGCCAATTAAAACTATGGCATTCACTATGAGAAGGTGTGTACTTTATGGAATTTTTGTCTATGTTCCAATTTATAAGTGTACAGAGGAAGCATAGATGTTTTGATCTGATTTATATCTTCTTTCTGTCCCTGCACTTTATATCTTTGCTTCTCTCTGCTCTATATATTGGACTAAAAATGCAATATGGACCGCTGCATATGTATAGGTAGACTTTGGAGAATGTACCTAGTACTATAATTGTTTAATATTTTCCAGATAATCTATTTTTTGTTATAATGCATCTATTGAGCATCATTATTACCTTGTACCTGAAAATCTATCATACTATGATCCGAGCTCTGTCTAACATATGAATTATAAAAGATAAAAATGTTGAGCATTCTCAAGCATTTTGGCATCCTTGCAGTCCCTCGGAATTTCCGATTGCTGGAGGAACTTGAACATGGGGAAAAGGGGATTGGAGATGGTACAGTAAGTTATGGAATGGACGACGGAGATGACCTCTACATGCGATCATGGACTGGCACCATAATAGGTCCTCATAATGTGAGCATCTTCTCTACTCGGATTTACTTATTTGAATTTAGTGTTAACTTCTTTACAGCATCAATGGTATGGGTGAACCTGTGGTGTCACTCTATATTATTTGGAGGTTCTTATTAGACTGATTTTATTTGAACTGGTATCCCTCTCTCGTTATTTCATCAGAGGTTTTGCCTGGGAATGAAAGATGAAATCCATGGCAATTATATTATTACCACATAAATTTATGATTCCATTTTTCGGTTCCTGTAGTCTTAGCCATGTTACATTTTTCTTTTTCTATATGTGGGGACATGTTTCTCAAATAATTTTTCTTTTGTTCAATAATAAATAAGGCTTTGCACATGGCAAAGTTTCTTACTTGAATAAGTTTTTATTGTGACCAGTTCTATCTATCTGGCAGTGCAAAATAGCATTGCTAGGAACAATAGTTAGCAGACTGCTGGGAAAATATTTTCGCAACTGTTCATATCAGTACAGATACTACTGAATTTTATTTGTTTTATCTGACAATGGCACTAATTTAGCCAAGATGAATCATCTGCCAGGCAGATGCATGCCTTTTTTGTACTGTTAATACTAATGCTGCTGTAGGAGTTTTTGTACATCTCTGATCCTCTGGATGGCCCTATTGTTTGAAATTTTATTGGGTATATTACCCTTCTCCTCTGTTTTTCAGAGAACGTAGTAAATGATTTTGTTGATTCATATTTAACGATAATTCTTCCTTGATGAGATGGCTTAAGTGCTTTATAAATTTATGATTATTTTTCAGTCTGTACATGAAGGTCGGATATATCAGTTGAAATTATTCTGTGACAAAGATTATCCGGAGAAGCCACCAAGTGTTCGTTTTCATTCCCGGATTAACATGACTTGCGTCAACCATGAAACTGGAGTGGTACGAAACAATTATCTTGTTTAAGTTGGGCTTACAAAAATCTTGTTTATAAGTTGTTATTGCTGCATTCTTCTATGGTTAAAATAGATCAGCGTTGAAAGTTAAATATCTCATTGCTTACGCACTACAATATGATTTAATTTTGATGCGGAGTGTGGCAGGTTCTCTTTCTGGTTATTTTCCCTCTCCTTTTGTCAAATGGTCTTGGCCTGTGGGTGCAGGTCTTCTTTGACTCCAAAAAAGAGCTTTAAATCATATTAAAATCTGTTTTTATTTTTTAAAATTTGACTCTATTGTTCAGAAAATATGTTAAAGCTTGAGTGGTTATGAGGAGTTCTAGATTTTTCAGGATCTTTGTGGTACTTACCAAGTCAAATTGTGGAAATCAGTGTTTATAAACAAGTATGATGATATTAACGAACTCTTGATGATCGGAATTCTATTCAATATTCAATAACTTGTATTGATCTGTAGATTTCCGTCAATAATCAAACCAACATTTTCTATGATATGTATATAAATGTAGTTGACTCTTATAATCAGTTACTTTATAACTTAGATATGTTAATTACTAGAGATATTATCTATAATGTTTTTGCATACTTTAATTAAATACTGTTTCTTAAATTTATTTAGATCATATCAGTGTGACCTGCTATAAAAATGAAAAGTCTCGAATATCTTCAAATTACTTTTAGTCTATGAATAAGAAATGCTTCACCTCTTGATTTACGTTTCACCTTTTCATCTTTGTAGTTATCAATTACCATATAAATAATTATAAATGCAAATATACCCTTGTTTCTGCAAAGCCAACGAAAATTATGAATTATTCATGCAAAAACTCCTAATATCTTGACTTGAAGAATCATGTAACATCACAATTTTCTATGTAATATCTAATCTGAAGATGTTCTTTATTAGCAGAAATTTTTATCGATTATTTGCTTAAGAATAATAAATAGGATTAGGTCGACTGTGTATTGTGGCATGCAAATGAATTGTGTAACATAATATAGTATCCATCTTTCCCCCAGGATGGACATTTTTTTCGTACTCCTTGGGGAAATTTTCTCTTGCACCAAACTTTACCTACCCACAAATTGCTCTGATGGGGATGGCATCTCTTGTGATGATGTCACCTCATTCAAGTTTCATATAACCATAAAATCTCAAATCATGTTAAATTGTGTGTCTATTATGATGAGTTTCGATCACGTGGCTTACAAATCTAGTGTATTTTAGTCCTTTATTCTGAGAAAACATGTAGAAAATGAAATGATTTTCCTGATTTTTAATATGTGTAGGTGGACTCAAAGAAGTTTCCACTTCTGGCAAACTGGCAACGAGAGTACACAATGGAAAACATACTGACACAGCTAAAGAAAGAGATGACGGCTCCGCACAACCGTAAGCTGGTTCAACCTCCCGAAGGGACCTATTTCTAGTATAAAGATATGTATATGTCTTGTTGATTTAAAAATTTGTGCTGGGAAGTAAAGATGAAACTTTTAAGATCCCCAGAAAAGCTCCTATTCACTCAGTTGCCTCTTGGATATCTTTTTCTGCTCTACTCCCCTTTGAACAATGTTGTTGGGTTCTGTTTTATAACGGGTAATCTTTTGTGTGCAAAACTGTAAAGGATGAATATATATCTTAAGTTGTTGCAGTTTCTGAATATTGTCTTACGAGTTTCGTGGGTTTCTTTATTGTTCCTTCACCATGAAAGTGAGTTCAGGAATATTTACTTGGCTTTTAATGGATGGGTAGAATTACTTGATTCAGAGCATGCTGTATTACTCTGTAGTTGAGAGTTTTAACATTAATCTCTTTATTTGAGAGAGGGTATCAGTCTCCCATATACGTGTCTAAATTTCATTATGTCAAAAGAAAAGCAAGCTGCTAAGGTGTTGGTGTGAAATTGGGAAAGAAGCTTTCTATATATTTTATTTGTAATATTATGGAAAAAACTGAGACACACTCCAAATGAACAATCAATGACATAATTGTTCAATGAATTATGACAACTATGATACAAAAATAAACTTTCGCCCTTGTTTGAGCCACATTATTTTCCTTAGAATGTATTGTTAAAAATGTGTGGTAAAAAAATAAAGAAAAGTTTTAGATTTACGTGTATTATTATTTTATTGAAAATATGTGGTTGAAATGATGTTAAATTACTGTTTATGAATGTATTTTTTTTTGAAAAAACGTGGCTCAAACATGGTTCTCTATGGTACAACCTAAAAAAGAGTACCTATAATTCAAATGAATATTGAAATTTTATTGTGGAACCTTTTGTTATCGACTGTAGAACATTTTTGGGTGGCTTATTGTTTACTTATAAGAATGAGTGAGGAAAAAAAAAAAAAAAAGTAAGAATGCCATCTTTATAAGGTGTTTATATTATTTTTTTTAAAAAGATTGTAAATAATATACATTGCACGTTGACTATAATTAATACGAGAGTGCGACATGATCTATGCTTGTAGGATTGTGAATAGGATTCGGAGATAATAAGCCACATGTAGCATCTGAATTTGATTCCCACAATGGCATGAATTTTCTTTATAACGATCATAGAATGGTGGAAATAAAAATGATACTCAAAAATTGCTTGCTTCAGTTTGGAAAAATATTTTATGGAAATTGAAATTTTTTCTTGACGAGGATGAAAAATCAGAAAGTGCACAATTGGTTAGTTGAATAATAAACTAGGTGAGGAGCAAGTTAAATAAGAAGCACGTGGAACAAATAGAAAATTGTTAATGATGTAGACCACGTACGTGTTAAAATAATATGTTTAGATCATTGTCTAGATAATGGGCAAACTATAACCATGTTACATAGTCAGAATCAGCGACAGAATTTCATTTTTAGACAACACTTGACAGAATCTCATTGAAAATCGAAAAAAAAAATATAAAAACACTCGATCATCGACTGTCATATCAGTCTGTTATTTTCCCTGTTTGTTCAGCATTATTCAGGCATACTAACATAATTAGGAGTCCACATGAGAAAATATGCTTGTCAATTATGAAAAGGCGTTAAATGTTGCACTGATGATCAAATTGAAACTTAGTAATGAATATAGGATAAAAAAATTTGTATGACTTGAGGGAAAATTCTTAAAAAGTTGGGTGACTACCAGTGTTCTCTACCCGAATTCGAGTTAAATGGCTCACCTGCATGACGGATCCCAGTTTGATATTCTACTTTTTATGCTTTTATATGCGTCCAAGTTTGAGAAATAATTTAAAAAATGATTCACGCCCTTCCAACAAAAAGCACCGTTACCCGACCAAATAACTGCCAAACGGTAAACCAGTTTGAAGAATCCAAGAAATCCCCTCATTCGTCTCTCTTCGCCGTTTTAAACTTCAGAGACTTCTATTTCTTGTGTATCACTAATCTAAACGCATGTATATCAAGATTCTGGGATTTTGTTTCATTTTCCCAAACGTCAAGAACGAAGGCAACTATTATTAAATTCTTGCAAAATTTTTCAACACCAATATATATGTGGGTTGCTTGAATAATTTTGAATGCAGTTCTTGAATCCGTCAAGTGCTTTTATTTTTTATTACCATTTGATCATCTCAGTACAATTTCTTCTAGACTTTAATAATCATTGTGTGTGTTTATATATCATTTTTATGCTTTATAGACATGTATGGTTTAACAATTATTGATACACGATTATTTTACGAACTGCAGAAATTTTGGCGGGCGCAAAAATAGTTAAAGATGATAGGAGGATTCATCTCGAGAGGTTTAATGTATGTCGTCAGTTAATCCTTCGCCATTTTCAAAATTGATTCCTTGTTTGGCCTTCTGTTCTTACTATTTTACTTTATGGAAGTTTGACATTTCGAATTTTATTTTTGGATTTACAGTCTGGTTCTTGCATATGCCTATCCTGCATTTGAGTGTTTCAAAGCAGTGGAGAATAATGGAGTTGAGGTTCAAGAACTCAGGTTTTGGTGTCAATACTGGTAAGAATTTCCTCAAACTTTTCATACTTTTTGAATAATGGTAGTTCTTTACATCGCTAGTAACTCAAGCAACAATCAAGATGAACTGCCGGAAAAAATTCTGATAGTGCATCTCAAATTCGTTGAGAATGATGCTTAGTTTGTTGTCGTGATGCATGATCTTAAAAAAATTTTGACATTTTGTAGGATTATTATTGCAATGCTCACAGCTCTTGAGAGAATTGCTGATATCTTTGTCTCTTGGTATGCATTTTCTATATCCCTTTTGCACGTTTTCATTTGAGTCCAGACTTTTTTGGTAAGATAGGCTGAATATCGACAATATTGAAGAAGAAAAACAAACTAAAATTTTATATACGGTACGTTTTTATCCATTAACGCGTGTAGGTGGCCAATGTACGGTGAATTGAAGTTGGCTCTCTTCATTTACTTGTGGTATCCGAAAACAAAGGTGAGACCTTTTCCTTTTTCCTTCTTCAAATTAATACTAGATAGAATTTTGCTCACACACTTCTCGAATATTTCCTCGTTTAACATAGGGGGCGGGATATGTATACCAGACCTATTTGCGGCCTTATGTGTCCAAGCATGAGATGGATATTGATTGGGGCTTACAGGAACTTAGGGAGAGAGCATGGAACTTGGCTACTTATCATTGGCAAATCTGTTTACAACTAGTTTCAGCAAAGATTCCTCAATTTATACAATTTATGACATCCCAATCTGTAAGGATTAAACAGCCTGGCTCTCAGGTATCACTTTCATCCATTCTTGTCAAGTTAGTTTTGTTGCACCAAATTCTAACAACACGTGAAAACATTTTTTGCAGAACGGCGAAAATCAACATTCCTATGAAACTCCTCCTCCGACATCCTCACCTACTAGTACGCCATCCCGACTAGTCAAGAGGAACAAGACCGACAGAGAACAGCTGCCAAATACACCATCTGGAAAGCCAACCTCGCAGCACGCATAAGTACCCAAATCTGGTTTGGCCACGAATGGCTTAGAAGAGAAATTGGGAGCGGAACACCATTTACATACTGCCTGCCTTAACTTCGGAGATTCAATATCAGCAACTAGCAAAATTATATTGTTGAAAAAGATAAATCGTATTAGAAATTCAAATTCTTCATTTTATATGTTCTTCTTCTATGTTTTCATTCTTTGTCCTATTATCAAATTTTCCTACACGAGGGAAAAAATGGAAAAATAGTTATTCTTCTTTTCTTTACTAGCGTGCTGCCCACAAGCCAATTCGAATACATAGAAAGTGAGCAATCCATATTTGGCTGCAAAAGCCATCGTCTCAAATTTGAAATAAACCGTGACATATTGTCAACCACTGCCAGAATTTGAAAGGTTAATATTTTTCTTAAATTTGAAATTGAAAGGCAGTGACCCTCAATTAACCAAAAATATGGTGTGAATATATTTTATATATTGATAATTGAAACCTTCGCCACCACCCCTTCTCCCCCTCTCCAAATCATCAAGAACCATCCCAAATTCTATTTTTTGTTTTTTGACTCATTCCTTAGGTGAAATTATAACAAAATATTATTATAATTATAATGTGCATTAAGTAATTAAAAAGAAAAATGCATCCTTACCAGAAGGAATAACGACCGAACGGTAAACTCGTAAGGAGAATCCCAAGATATCCACTACAGTTAACTTACGTGTAAAATGATGAGAAGGCATCGGTCTTTAGAAATGCAGAACTACATAAATATTTAAAATCCTTAAAAATATATTTTTATATATAGTTACATAAATGCTCGCACGTTCATAATATCCTCTATGTAACCAACTTCTCCTTCTCCTTAATATCAAGTTTCTGGGATTTGTTTAATTTTTTCAAACGTACAGATTTAAGATTAAAGATCTTTCCTTTGCATTAAAGGTAAAGATATTTAAATTCCTGTGCATGATTCTTTGACACCAATATAATCGTGGTTTTGTTAATTCATTGTATAATTGATTTGTGTCTGTAATGCACTTCTTGAATCCTTCAAATGTTATGTTTTTTTACCGTTTGATCAGTTCAGTAGCCATTTCTTCTTGGATTTATCGACATTCACGACAGGTAGAATAATTAAAAATCCTTGTTTATGTTTCTAGTTTAGTACTTCAAATCTTTTTTTGAAACAATGAATTGTTGTATGATTGAATTACTGATTTGTTTTAGATTTTTGGTGAAAAAAAATTGACCAAATGTTAAAGTTTCAGATTGGTTTAGGAATTCTGGCGCGGGGAAAAGCTGTTAAAGATGATAGGAGGATTCATCTCAAGAGGGTTAATGTAAAAATTAATTTCCTGTTTTGCCTGTTTTTTCCTTATCTTTTCGCTTATTAGGAGTTTCTTTTGAATGGGTAATCTCTAATTTTATTCATGGATTTACAGTCTGGTTCTTGGGTATGCCTATCCTGCATTTGAGTGTTTCAAAACAGTGGAGAAGAATAGAGTAGAGATTCAAGAACTTAGATTTTGGTGTCAATATTGGTAAGGATCTCTACCTTTCATGTGCAATAGTATTTCATTCTTGAAGAATAATGCTAGTGCATAAAGCATGGAAATGGAAAGGGGAAACACGATACCGACACATGGCAACGACATTTTAGTTAGAAACTTGGAATATTTTTTCATGTGTAGGATTATTGTAGCGGTGCTGTCAGTTGTTGAAAGGATTTTCGATACCTTTGTCTCTTGGTATGTATTTTGTGTATCCTCTTTTGGAATTTTCATTTTCGTGTCTCTTTCATTATTTGCTTGAGATTACAATGTAGGCTGCCAATGTACGATGAGTTGAAGTTGGCTCTCATCATTTACTTATGGTATCCCAAAACAAAGGTGAAACACCAGTTCGATATTCTGTTTTTTCACTTATTTGTTTTCTTCAAATTAATTTCAGAATTGCTCAAAGATTTGTTTGCATAATGTAGGGGACAAGATATGTCTATGAATCCTTTTTGCGGCCTTATTTGTTGAAGCATGAGAAGGATATCGACCGGAGTTTACTGGAATTTAGGGAGAGAGCATGGAGCCTGACCATTTTTTATTGCCAAAACTGCACACAACTAGGTTCAGCAAAGATTGTGCAATTCCTCCATTTTGTAGCTTCCAAGTCTGCAAGGAGTAATCCTAAATCTGAGGTAACATACTTTGTCAATAAAAAATTTCGTTTTGTTTGGCGTCATTGTTAACTAAAATGCAACCTCGAGAAGTGCCTATCTAAAGTTTTACTTAACTTTGTTCTATCAAGATACCAAGTTAGAGATGTCAATCATATCGAATAAAACTAGACCACTATCTAAAATACCCGAAAAGGCCTGTCTAGTGGTTTAGAGTACACACATTTCTTGTTTCGTTGGCCAAGCAACTTTCTGAAAATGCCAGTGTGAGATGCATTATACAGAGCATATTATTTGAGGCCCATATACTTCTCTATTCTTTTTTTTTTGTAAAAAAAAATAAAAACGAAAGGTTCACCTTGGCTGCATAGCACAGCCCGAATGCCCTAGGGCCCCTACAGCCAGACCTTGAATGGGCCGGCTATAGGGGTGGATTGGCCGTAGCCACGCCCGGTTAGAGTTATGCTTCGGTCAGGCCCTAGCGTCTTAGACCGGAGATTGGAGATTAGGCACTAGTTGCACTATCAACTATCAAGTGTCATCTTTTGCAAAAAATGTAAAGTCAAGTAAGATCATTTCTCCAGTTTGTCACAACTAAATCCTAACAATGCCTATAACAATTTGTGCAGAAAGTCGAAAATCAGCAATCTAATGAAGCTTCTCCACCTCCGCCTCCTCCTCCTCTCACCCCACCTAGTACACCATCAAGATTAGACAAGAAGAATGAGAGTGACAGTCCAAGGCGGCCAATTACACCAAGAACACCCTCCTTTCGTCGTGCCCAAACATCTAAATCCGAATCCGTCCGAGTTCAGACACAAAACATTGACACTAAGAATGTTGTAAACCTGGATGAGGATACCGGTTCGCCTATGGAACGACATTTACATGATGCCCGGCTTAAGCTTAGGAGATTCAAAGCTAGCGACTAATAAAGCATATTGTAAAATATATATAATATATCAAAATAGATGAAATTGTATTAGGAATTTGAATTTATTCATTTTTTATGCTGTGTATTTAACATTTTCTTTTCTTTTCGAATCTGTCTTAAGTATTTGTAAATATCCTTTTACATGCAATTGAAATGTGAAACCGGCCTAACACTTCAAACAACGCACTCATGGAACCAATACTAATGGAGCAATCCCAGAGGTTTTGCATGTTCCCTGTTAGATATCCACAACTTTGGGAGATGTATATAAAAGCATGAGCGAGTTTCTGGACTGTTAATACAATGCATGCATAAAAGAGATTATTAGTTGCAATATGTGTTGAATTAATGCGCCTCTGTCTCATGTATGTTGTAAATTGTGTTCTGGGGTTTGTCCACGTTTCTTCTATTCTTGAATTTATTTTTTCTTTCTTGATTAGATTTTTTTTTGCCTTATCTGAAATGTGACGATTTTTTTTAAGGGATTAAAGCAGAATACTTTGTTATCTAAATTGCCCAACTTTCTCCTTATTATACGAGTTCTTCACAGTATTTGGGACAATTTCGAAATTGACATAACTAAGAAATTGCCCAGTGTTTTGATTTGTAGGGTTCTATGTATGTATAAGAAGATAAAAAGGATAAGTAGAGAAGGGTATTATTTTTTGTCAACTCACCTAAGAGCCGAGTCATAGAGTAGGGGCTCACTTTGAGTGGGAAGTGGAATGTTGTTTTTTGAAAAAGACAAAATGGACGTGATTGATTTTCTCTTTCTTTAATTCTCTCTTTGTTCATTGTTTTACGCAGGCATACCCACATCATAAGGTGTTTATTGCCTGCAATTCTATATGAATTATGCTTGTGTCATTATGTGTATAAAGAATTCGTGGTTTTATTTGTTAAACTGGATTTAAGATAGTTTTTCCTAAATCAATGTCAGTAATGTATGGGATATGTGATTCTTGTGGATTTTCATTTTAAATTCATGGATGGTAACTTGAAGATAGTTACTTTATGTTGTTTAATAGTTTCTGATTTCTGTTGTCATGCTCTGTACCAAAACCTTAAATCTTTAGTTATAGTTGTTGTTTTGAGTTTTTCAGGAGATTGTGTTTGTTTCTTTTTGTGGAGTGATCAATGCTGTTGTCACAGATATCAGAAATATATCCGTGTTGCCATATGAACATTAATCTTATTGGAGAAGGAAAAGGGGGTTGGTGGGACGGGGGAAAGAGGGTTCAACCAAACTGAAAGTTATACAAAGTTTTGTTTTGAAGCATATGGAAAGGAATTGGCTGTGAATGTCATAGCTCATGTTATAGGTTTGTCTTGTCTCTTAATTTTATTTTGATTTTTGTAGTCTACTTTCAAGAGCTAAGCCAATTAAAGCTGTTGATCTGGAGCACCCCTTAGGTGATAGGCATTATTGTAATTAAATAATAAACCATTCTTCTCATGTGGTGAAGAGGTTTTTGCCTGCATTTATGGGCTTGATGTCCTTGCACATACGCTAGTCTTTTCACTTGTGCAAGATTGCAGTATATGGGACTACTACTGCCACTTGATTCTCAAAAGTCTTACATATTTTGAGACGGTAATTAGTGTGTTTTGCCGGCCATTTTGAATAAATTCCTTCTAAGATTAATATTTAGAGAAAGTGGACAGTTTTCTGTTCCATATAAGCCATATGACTGTCCATTAATTGTCATGCATAAATAAAAATGTATATTTTTGGTGACATTGGAAAATTTAGGGTGAGATTGTGGCTGTGAGTACATCTGATGGTAAGTCGTGCAGGAAGTTAGTTTTGTAGAGTCTTATAAGTGTGGCCAGGGGCATAGCCATGTAGTGACGAGGGGCGGAGCCATTGAATTTTTAGGCCCAAACTTTTTTTTAATTATTATTATTATTAGCAATGGCCCATGATTTTGCTTGATTTTAGGCATAGGTTGATTTAGACTTCACTTGTTTTTGTTTCTAGTTACTTGTTTTTGCTTTCAATTATTTGATAATAACATTATTGTACAACGATATCAAAATATGAAAACTTGCAAGGAACACGTTTAATTATAAACTATGTCATTTTTAGTATTATCGCAATTTTGTTTTAAAGTTTTATCATCATTAAATTCAGGATCAAAACTCAATGTTCGACGTGGATTAAATTATGCCCGCATTGAACGAATTTCCTGGCTCCGCCCCTGAGTGTGGCAGCTGTATTTATCTTTAATATGACGATATGCGCCCTAGTTGAAATATTTATGGAGATGACTAG